CCTCAGGATACCAGCTCTCCTTCATTTTACAGATGAGTCCCAGGCAAACTAAGTTCCCGAAAGATTACTTGAGTTTATTTTATTTTGATTTTTTTGGGGGGGTGAGGCAATTGGGGTTAAGTGACTTGCTCAGGGTCACACAGCTGGTAAGTGTCAAGTGTCTGGTCTGAGATTGGATTTGAACTCAAGTTCTCCTAACTCCAGGACCGGTGCTCTATCCACTGTGTCACCTACCTGCCCCATTTTGAATTTTTCATTCACAGCTTTTCTTACATCACCTCTTCTAAAAACAGCCCTCTCTGTTCCTCTACCCAGGAGACCACCTCCTTGTAATAAGAATTTTTTTTTAAGCAGCAGTTCAACAAAACCAACCAACAAATTGAGTTGCAATAGTCTATGCCCATATGTCCCCATCTTTGAAAGAAAGGAGAAAAGCTCTTCTCCAGGGCCAGGCTTCTTGGTAATTACAATTATCTCACATTCAAGTTTGCTTTTTTGTTCCTTCCATTTACATAACTGGAGTCATTGCATAGATTGTGTTTACAATCTCGCTTATGTCTGTTGTTGTTATTCAAGCATTTCAGTTGTGTCCAACTCTTTGTGACTCTATTTGGGGTTTTCTTGGCAAAGATACTGGAGTGGTTTTGCCATTTCCTTCTCCAAAGAATTAAGGCAAATAGAGGTTAAGTGACTTGCCCAGGGTCACACAACTAGTGAGTATCTGAGGCTGGATTTGAACTTAGGTCTTCCTGACTCCAGACCCAGCACTTTATGCATTGCACCACCTAGCTGCCCCTGTTGCTTCTTAAAACTCAACGATACCCCATTATGTTCATGTACCCTGATGTATTAAGCCATTCCCCAATCAATGGACATCTATTTTGTTTCCAGTTCTTAGCTAATACAAAAAGCACTGCTCTGAATATTTTGTTGCAAGTGGCACTTTCTGTCTTTGATTTCCTGTGATTAAATGCCCAGAAGTGAGATCTCTGGGTCAAAGGTTGTATTATCTTTTCACTTTTAAAAGACAATATTATTGGGGCAGCTAGGTGGTGCAGTGGATAGAACTCTGAGTCAGAAGGACCTGAGTTCAAATGCAGCCTCAGACATTTGAAACTTACTAACTGTGTGACTCTGGGCAAGTCACTTAACCCCTATTGCCTCACCAAAAATAAAAAAATAATATAATAAAAAATACATTATTATTCCAGAATGGTTGGCTCAATTCCCAGTGCCACTAACAGTATGATCAGTAGATCTGTCTTTCTGCAGCACCTTCAACACTGAATGGTTCCGCTGTTTGCCATCCTTCGCAATTTTCTGAGTGTGAAGTAAGACCTCAGAGTTGTTCTGATGGGCATCTCTCTTATTAGTATTTCAGAATGAGTTTTAATATGACTTTGTTTGCAGTTCTCCTTTTTGAGAACTATTTGTTCATAACTTTTGAATCCAAGCTCATTTTAACAACGGATAGTTAATGGCTGGAGAGCATGGGAAGGGGAGTATTTAGTTACCAAAAATAACCCAAATTGCTTCTATGATTCTTTTGGGGCAACCAGTGTCCTTGCTTCCAGGCACCAAAAGGACTGAATGTGTTTTGAGAGGAATAGAGAAAAATCTCTTTTATGCTTGCTTTCTTTTCTCCCTCATGTTTTCTCTGCTTCTTTAGTCCCTATTTGCCCTTTACTGTCTTCCTGATCTCAATTCTCCCTCTACTGCTTTGCCTTCATTTTTGTTGTTGTTGTTCAGTCATGACCGACTCTTTGTGACCCCATTTGGGGTTTCTTGGCAAAGATACTGGAGTGGTTTGTCATATCCTTCTCCAGCTCATTTTACACATGAGGAAACTGAGGCAAACAGGGTTAAGTGACTTGCCCAGGGCCACATTGCTAGTAAGTGTCTGAGGCTGGATTTGAATTCAGGTCTTCCTGACTTCATGCCTGGCACCATGTCCACTTTGTCACCTTTATTTTACAGGTGAACAAACCAAGGCCCAGTAAAATTATTGATCTATGACCTTCCCAATCAGTGTGATTTACTGATTGTAAATTATAAAACTAGATTTGAACTCGGGTCCTCTAAGTCCAAATCCATTGTTCTTCCCCTAATACTGTTCTTCTGAGCTCTGAAATCCCTCAATGCTATGAGCCTTGTGATGGATTGATTAACAGCTTAACCCATTTGCCTTTTTAAAGAGGGTGAACAGAGCTGGCAGTACCTTAATCCTGGCCTGGGTGCAGGGGGAAAAGTATATTTGGGGAGGGAGGGTCTTCCCTGTGCCTTTTAAATCACTAGATGTCCACCCATTACACCATTCTTCATTTTTTTCTATCATGATGGGACCATTTCTCTTCCTTCCCACTTTCAGGATCTGGATTCTGTCTCCCCTCTTACCTTTATCAAATGCTGCCCTGGGAGCTTTCATTCACAGGGAGGTTCAAACAGGGTTTAACAGCTCACTCGCAAGTGGAAGGTGATGGAATGGAAGATCGACCAAGGATGACTGGAATAGGCTGAGTGAGTTGAAGGAAGAGTTGAAGGAAGCCAGGGAAGTCCAGAGCCAGAGTGAGGAGGGAAAGGATTTTTTCAGGCATGGAACCACCTGGGACAGTTGAATGGTTGAGTTCAAGGAACAGCAAAGAGGCCATTGTCGCTGGATGAAAGACTGGAAGGGGGTGGGGCATAAGAAGACGGAAGAGCTAGGAAGGGGATCAGGCTGTGCTGAGAATCTAAACAGGATTTTTTTCCTACACCTGATTTTAGTTTTTAATAGACCAAGAAGCTATTCAAACAGGTTTTTATGTTTGCTCCTGAATGTAAGATACTGATAACCAGTAGTAGGATAGAATTTTAATGGTAGAATTAATGAGTCAATTAGTGGAAAAGATTAGGGAGGAGGGAACTGGGGGAGGGGTGGGTTCCTAATCTTCCTCCTCCAGGCATCAAGTTGCCTTTTCAGTTCAATTCAACACTGGCCTGGGAGTCAGGAGGCCTGGCTCTTGGACTGGTCTCATGACAGCTCTGTGGCAATTTGGAATCATCCTCCTGTCTTATCTAACACTATTTGATTCCTTTACTTCGTGACCAAATTGGTCACGACTGTACCCCTGACTGTACCCCTAGCCTTTCTTGTCTCCAAACCCTTGGATATGACATTCCCTATGCCTAGAATGAAATGACCAAACAACAACAACAAAATAATAATAATAGCCAGTATTCATGTAGCATTTTAAAGTATGCAAAGCCCTTTACACATACTACCTCATTTAATCCTCATGATAACCTTGGGAAGTAAATACTATTTTATCTTCATTTTACAGGTGGAAGAAAGTGAGGTAGAGCTTGTGACTAGCCTAGGGGTCACCCAGCTAATAAATCCAGGCTGAGACTGCATTTAAACTCAGGTCTTCCTGACTCCAGGTCTAACATGCTGTCCACTGCACCACCTAGCTGCTTTTCCACACCTAGCCATTCATTAAAGCCCAACTCAAAACCAGCTACCTCCATAAACCCTTCCCTGGCCTTTCCTAGCAATAGCCTCTTCCCCTCCTCCTGCTCCTCTAATGAACCTACTGTGTACTATTTTGTCTGATAGTTCTATGTGGCTGGGTGTCATAGTACCCTGCAAGACTATAAGCTCCATGATGGCAGGAACCATGTCTTAGTGACATTTTCTATCCCTCCTAGAATGCAACACAGTGTTCTGCATATTACAGGCACTTTCTAGATGTTGGTTGAAGTATACTTAATTGAAAGTATACTGGGACCAGTTTTCTTCTTTGTGAAATGAAGGGACTACCTAGATGATCCTTTCCAGCTCTTAATATATTGTGACTCTATGAACAGATTAATATTTTACTGAGACCTGTCATTGTGCTCAGCCTCAGGTTCTACAGGAGATCCAAAATGAGCCCTGCCTCCAAAGAGCTTATAGTCTTCTTGAAGTCAAGGCTGGGATGTGAAGCAATGAGAAAAGTAATACATGCACCTCATTCTTCAAGCAGCCTTTGCACCATGAATTCCCCTCCTCTTAAAAAGAGAGTCAGAGAAAGATGGAAAGGTGGAATGAAGGGAGGGAGCAGGAGTCATTGACCGAATTTTGTAGGTAGGAAAACAGGGCTCGAGGAATCCGAAGGTGAACGCTGAATTCCTGTTTTTCCTGCCCAATGCTACTGTTCCTCATGGATCCTTAGAACCTGCCTATAGAAAGGAAGGTGGGAGTTAAAAATATCCCTGGTACTATCAGTAAGTCATTTACCTTCTATGTGGGAAATGAATGAGTATGGGGGAGGGAATGGTTTGGGTAAGGGGGAAAGAGGATATGACTTGTGAAGGATATGAGGGGAAAGAGGCGAGGTTGAGAAAAAGAATTCGTGGAGAAGTGTGGTTAGGGAAAATGGTTTTGGGGTTAGGGGCATGGGTAAATGTGTTTCTAAGTAATATAGTCAGGGAAATGGGTTTCTAAAAATGGTAGCTGGTAGGAGATAAGTTTGGGACTTGGAGAATGGGACATTAGGCTGAGGATCATGGCTGGTGGCTTTGTAGAGAATAGCTACAGGCAGATGGGTTTGGAGTGGAGGGGGATATCTGATGAATTGGAGAAGGGGAAATGAGAGGATCAACTGGAAACTAGGGAAGACAGGATTATGGAGAGGGTGGGAGTGAAACAGATTTGGGGAGGGGAAAGTAGGCAGCCAATCAGGCATGTGGGATGACCTCAAGAAGAAAACTGGATGGAGCCCTTCAAAAAGCTTCTAGGTTAAAGTGATACTTGAAACTTGATCCCTCTGGGAAGGCCCCCCCCCTCCGCTTGAAGGCCAGATCATTGTTGGGAGGAGAAAACACTGGGCCACGGCACTTCCTTACAAAGGAGGAAGAGCAGGCCATTAACAAAGGAATGTTTTCCCCAGGAGTTTCCACAGGTGGGTTCCGCCCTCTCTGCCAGAGTATATAAGGAGGCTAGCTGAGTCAAAGGTGAAATCAGAACTGTCCAAATAGACCCCTTGACAGGTGCCTGCTGTGGGACCGGAGAGAACCATCAAGAAGTCTCCATTTCTTCCTCCTATGCCAGTGGAGTCCCCTGTCATGGTAAGAGCATCAGTGCCTAGTGTGGGTGGCACCTTGGCTGCTCACCAGCTGCAGATGTGTTACTGGCTGAGCCAGCCCTCACTGATGGGAGGGGAGGGATGGAGATAGGGACAACAGAAGCTGAACCTCCCAGGAGTGGCAATGTGGTCTGGAGGAAGAAAGAACCCCTGGTCTGCATCAAAGATTCCTCTCTCCTCTTCCCCTTCCCCTATGCTCCAACTCCTGCAGTGGATTGGGTTCTGTTCATGGATTTGGGTGCCCCAGCTTTGCCCTAAAGAAAATTGGTGGGCAAGTCACTTACCCCAATTGCCTAAAAAAAAGAAGAAGAAAAGAAAAGAAAATTGGAAGAATAACTTCCAACTCATCTTGGTGACTAGGATGTGTTTGGGGAGAGGGAAAATTGAGGGGAATTTGTACCTGTGAAGGGGAGTTGGGGGGATGGGTATAGGGAAGGAGTTTATGGAAGGGGATAGGGAGATGGACTTTTGTTTATTTCTTTGGCTGAGTTTACCAGAAAAAGTTCAGAGCATGGATTCTTTATTTTCTTTATTTATTTGTTTGTTTATTTATTTTTTGGTAAGGCAATTGGGGTTAAGTGACTTGCCCAGAGTTACGCGGGTAGGGAGCGTTATGTGTCTGAGGCTGAACTTGAACTCAGGGCCGTCTGACTCCAGGACCGGTGCTCTAGCCACTGTGCCACCTAGCTGCCCCCAGAGCAGGCATTCTTAACCTGGGGTCCATGGACCCCTTTGGATATAATCCAGTGGATCTGAGAACTTAGATGGGAAAAATACAGAATATATTTCAATATAATTGGTTTCCTTTTTGATCCTGTGTATTTTATTTTTATGCATTTACAAACCTTATTCTAAGAAGACAATAGGCTCCACCAGACTGCCGAATGAGGCCATGACACAAAAGAGGTTAAGAAGCCCTGGGCTGGAGGGTCATGATGACTTTGAGACTAGGGAGCCTGTCGAGTCCTAGGAGAAGGTGGAAAATGAACCTCTCCCTTGATGAATGAAGGTGTCGTGCCTCTCAAAGGCTCAAACATGTCTGCTAGCTAAGTTAGCAGACTTTCCCAGGGCCCACCAGAAGGTCAAGTAAGTTCCCCACCGCACAAAGAGTCCCCCACTTATCTTCCCCTTCTCCCAAACCTGTCTCCTTCAGATCGCTGCTTGGATTCTCCTCGTTTTCTTTCCGGCCTGCTTCTCCCGCCACTTACACTGGCTGTCTTCAGAAACTTCGAATCTTCACCAACGCTGCTACCTTCCTGAGGAGCTGTCCCACGACCAGCTTCCCCTCCATTTGACAGGCATGGGAGCCCGGTCTGCCCGCTCCCTGCCTGCTGCACTGGTGTCCAGCCTGGAAGCTGGGAGCCTAACAAGAACACGAAGACATCAACGCAACCACGAGTCCCGATGCTCAGCTCTCCAGCTTGAAAATGTGTATGAAGCCGAGGTCCATCAGCGATCCCTGTCACCGTGGAAATACCGGTAAGCCCCACAGGCAGGAAAGAGCTTGGAGATCTGGGCTAGGGGCTCAAACAAAGCTGCCCCTTGCTCCACATATTTGCATAGGTGAAATCAGGCTCCTAGAACTGTAAAAAATGACCTTTGAGCTGGAAGTGTGGGAGCTGAAGGAACCTTAACACAATTGTAAGCACGTGGAGGTGTTGGAAGGGACATCAGAGATCCCGTAGGCTACTCCTCCCATGTGACCTAGAAGGGGAAAGGGATTTACTACCTCATTGACAACAGAGCCTGGACTAAAATTAGTCCTGCCTAGGGCTTTTTTCACAAAATTGCGTGCTGTCTGCAAGATTAAAATGGACGTCATAAAGCAGCCTTGAATGGGGAAAGAATTCTCCCAAGGGGGGAGACTTAAGAGATATGGAAGGAGGGTGGGGCAGGCCCACTCCCACTGTGCCTCGGTGATGTGGGTGGAGAGTATGTATTAGTTAGCTGGATGGAGTTTTCTTTTTAGTACCTGTTAGAATCACCTGCTTCTCTCCTGCCTGTCCAGTACCGTGAGGCTCTACCCAATGTCCTCAATAGCCAATAATTAGCCAATAATTTGATTTTAATTGCGGTAGAGATAAAGAAGAGTTCAAAATTGTTGCCTACAACAGATTTTGGCATATTCTGTGTGGATTTGTCCTATCCGCAGAGAGGGGAACAGAAATTGGAACTTCAGGCAAAATCCTGAAATAAATGACATTTAAATAGTCTCTTTTGGGATCCTTCCACCTCCCTTTCCTCCTGTCTTTGTGCTCTCAGCCTACCCTTTATCACCTTAGTTGTCCCCCCACCCAGGCAATTGAAGTTAGGGTCAGACAGCTAGTAAGGAAGTCTGTGAGGTCAAATTTGAACTCAGGTCCTCTGACTTCACGGCTGGTGCTCTCACTGCGCCACCTAGCTGCCCCTCACCTTAGTTGTTAATGGCACACATGGACTTAGGAATGTCCCGACTCCTCAGGGATATTTGCCTTTTGATCATCATTTATATTTCTATGAGTGCTTTCTTCACAATAGCTTTGTGAGGTTGTTCCTTAGATTGTGAGCTCTTTGAGGGCAGAAAGTCTTTTGCCTCTTTTTGTAACCTCAGCAGTTAGCACAGCACCTGACCTGTCATAGTCATTCAATAAATGCTTATGCACTTCTTTGTCTTACAGAATTGACACGGATGAGAATCGGTACCCCCAAAAGCTGGCCTTTGCAGAGTGTCTGTGCAAAGGCTGTATTGACATGAAATCAGGTCGAGAGACATCTTCATTCAACTCAATCCTACTGTATCAGAGGGTGTTGGTCCTCCGCCGCAAGCCCTGTGCTCTGAAGGGAGATGCTGAAGTGACCCCAGGGGCCTTCACCTTCAATTCAGAATACATCAATGTCCCTGTGGGCTGCACCTGTGCCCTGCCCCGGTCCGGCTAAGAAGGAGTGGGTGGCAGGAGCTGGCAGGATCATTGAACTCAGTCCTGTTGGTTCAATCACTATCCCTTCTGTTTAATACACCCTTCAATTCTATATCACTTGGCCAGCTCCACGATGTGGCTTAGCCCATGAAGAGGGCTAGAATGGTGGAAAGAGCCCTATGTTTGGAATCAATAGACCTGAGTTTGAATCTTGGCTCGCTACTACTTGTGTAGTCAGCACTTGAGCAAGTCAGTTAATTTCTTTGGGTCTCAGTTTCCCTAGCTGTAAAGTAAGAGGATTGAATTAGATGACCTCAAGGGTCCATTCTAATTCTGAGTCCTGTGAGCCTCTGAACCCAGATAAAGGACAGTGCCCAAGGGAATCCTTATCCCAGCCAAGACAAGAAACCTCCTTCTTCCTGTGGATTTCTCCGATGGTGGACAGATGGATATGCTTGGCCCACAATTATTTATTATTGGTGCCACTATTCTCTTCAGGTCCTGATTGCTAACCCCTTGCTGACTTTCTCTTGGCCTTTGAATTTAAGGTTCCCCAAGACTCCTGTCGCCAGGGTTGGCCCTTCCAAAGGACAAGTGGAGAATGAAGGCTTGTTCATAGCTACTGGCTCCCTTTCTATGACATCCTTCATTCTCATGCCTGGTGGGATGGACGTTGGGTGTAGGGGTGGGGAGGTTATATTTTTAATGATGTAGTCATGGAATTAAATGAAACCTGGGTTTTTAACCCAAATTTGATAATTAGGACCCCCTAGAAAAGTCCCTTAAACTCTCTGACTCTCAGTCTTCCCATCAGTAAACTGAGGACAATAATCCTTGCACCACCTCCCTCACAAGGTTGCTGTAAGGAAAGCCCTTTGTAAGCTCTGAAGCTTGTAAGTTATTTTATAATTATTATTATTATTGTATTGTTATTTTTAAGCCCAGTGGGCTATCTTTTGGTAGGTTCCTTCTTGGAATACAACCTTCCAGGTATCATTTTCCTTTTTTTTTCTCCTCTTCCAAGGCTGCCTGTGTCCTGTTCGGGGCCCCTTTCCTTGGGCAGGCCCTCAGACTGCCCCACAGGGCAGGCTCAGCAGGCTAATCTAGAGGGGAAAAGGGTGGAGATTTTATGGGCTATATCAGCCTACTTGTTCTCTGACAGCTCTGGAAGGCTGTAATTCCACTTTGAAATTGACCTCAGATTGTATTTACAGAAGCATTGTGGCCATGTGCATATGTATGTATCTATATATTTATTAATTATTTATGTCAAATGGCATTGTGGTTGGATTGTCTCTTTGCAATTGGTCTGTCCCAGGGAAACTATCAGTTTTTCTGACCGTTTGTATCTACAGGGTCTTTGGTTTTCTGCTGCCATAATTTGAAAAGTCCCAGGTTAATGAACAGGGACCAATAAGGGAAAAACTAACCCTTTGAAAGTCTTCTCTCCAGCTACTTCCCCTCCAATGAAACCACAGGTTGCCAGGCTTTGGTTGAGGGGAAAGAGGTCTTCGTGGGGCAGGAAAAGTAGCTGGCCATAGTTCTGACCCAGAGTTAGGGGCTCTTTCTTTCATCGGGACCATTGGGTCCTTTTGGAGACATTTTCCTTTTTCAGGTTGCTCTGGATGTTCATTTGAACCTCAAAGGCAGCATATGATTTTGTGAAAAGCCCCCTAGGCTGTGTGTTAGGACACCTGGTCCAGCTACTAATGAAGCACAAGCCTGGGAGAGGCCCAGCTCTTCCGTTATTAGGGCAAAAGAATGGTAGGAACAAGCCTTTGGTGAGGTTTTAAACTTCCCTTGAAAGTCCACTTTTTATTCATTCTCTTACCTCCATCCCTTTACTATAATTATCTGTGGCTGGAACCACCTAGAATTTATGGGGGGTTTTGTGTGTGTGTGTGTGTGTGTGTGTGTGTGTGTGTGTGTGTGTGTGTGTGTGTGTGTGTGTGTGTGTGTTTAAAGGATATACAGGAAGTCACTAATTTCTAAATACGTTCCAGAAATGACTTTGTCCTCACAGATCATCCTTCACTCCTCCATGACTTCATTGTGCTCTGATGTGTTGTGTGTGTGTGTGTGTGTGTGTGTGTGTGTGTGTGTATACATATATGTTTGTCTGTTGGTTTTTTCAGAGTCCCATGATATGTTCTTTCTCTTTCCCTCCCTCATTCCCCTCTCCTTCCTCCTTTCTCAATGATGGGTCCAGGTAGATGGAGACCACAGCTGCACCTTGTCTTTACTAGCCCAGCTCAGGTTCCAAGCTCTACAAGACAGAAAAACATAGCTTGTCTTGGGGCCTGGTCAATGAGCGTATACTTATCCAGCTGTGAGTCTCAGGAATGTTTTAAACCCTGGAGAACTTTAGACCCTGGGCTTCTGGGCCAAAGGCCAGTGGGGTGTGGTCAGCCTTTGTAGAAATTCAATGAAAGTTGTAAGATGCTTCTTGTGTGGCAGGTTAGATTGGGCATCTGAGGGAAGGCCCCAAGGGTCAGGTGTCAGTTTTGAGACTCTGATAATTGGAACTCAGTTCTCAGCACTGCTGGTTCAGAGGTAATTCAAGGTTATACTGTGAATTTTATTGGTTCCCTCAGAGGGGAGCGCTGGCTTCTTCTTGGGCACAATTATGTCATGCTTTAGATTGAAAGTTAAGGGATTTGAAAGCTAAGGGCAAGGAATGGGAGGGGGGTGTGGAGTAGAGGAGGATAGCATAATCTATTTAAATTATTGTTATCCCCAGACTTTGTATTTCTGTTTCCACAAAAATAAAGTCACATTTGGAAATAAAGTTTGTCTTCCACTTGGAACTTTTCTGTTGGAAGCCCCTGGTTTGTAGCTGGTGCCCATCTGATAGGATCCCTAGTGAGGACTGATCAAAAGAATGCAGCACAGTCATTTGTGCACATGGCAGACACTCCATAAATGCTTGTTGAATGTGGAATGAATGGACTGGAGAAGCTGAGCATGGAGAAGAGAACCCTTGGGGGGACAAGAAAGGGGTCTTCAAGAATCTGAAGGGTCCTCCAGAGAGCAGAACTAGGAACAATGTGGGGATGTTACCAAGAGAGAAATTCAGGATTGTTCGGGTGAATGTCCCAACTTCCGTAAGTGGGAAGGCTTTCCCAGTGACCTCTACACCTTCCCACCTGCCCCCAAGTAGCCATTTTAACCCCCTCTCCCCACAACAGAACCTTGGACTCTGCCCCCGGCACACTGGGCACACACATGGGTGACCTTTTCGCCCCATTTTGCTTTGAGCCAAGCCTAGAACCTTCTGCTTCCAGACATTTCCACACCATGGCACTGATCCTGTATCCCTCTTGTCTTTTACTAGATTCCCTTTATTTGTTTTCTCTGATTATAGTGAAACCTTCCTGAACATGGAGACCATCTTGTTTGCTTCTATTTGCGTACCTAGAGATCAGCACGGTGCCTAGAACATAGTAAGTGCTGAATACATGCTCTATCTATCTGTCTATCTGTCTATCCATCTATCTTTCATTTATCTTTCTACACATTGATGTGTATGTCTATCCACACATCTGTCTATCCATTTATCCATTCTTCCATCTATCCGTCTGTCCATCCATCTATCTCTCTGTCTACTGTCAGTCAATCAATCTATCTGTCTGTCTGTCTGTCTATCGGGTTTCCCTTCCTTGGAGATCTTGAAGCATGGCCTAAATGACTCCTCTTCAGCTATGTTGAAGTGGGGCTTCTTTTTTTTTAACTCAAAATCTGAAATCTCATCATTTGTTTTATTTTGTTTTTTGGTTTATTTTTTCCCTTAATATTTTGTTTTTTCCAATTACATGTAAAGATAGTTTCAACATTCACTTTTACAAGATTTTGAGTTCCAATTTTTTTTCTCCCTCCCTCTCCTCCCCCTCTCCCCAAGATGTCGTACAATTTGATATAGGCTATACATGTGCAATCATATTGAACATATTTCCAATTAGTCATGTTGTGAAAAAAGAATCAGAACAAAAGGAAAAAAAGAGAAAGAAAAAAGAGAAAATAGTGTGCTTTGATATACATTCAGATTTCATAGTTCTTTCTCTGAATGTGGATAGCATATTCCATCTTGAGTCTTTTGGAAATGTCTTAGATCATTGCATTGCTGAGAAGAGCTAAGTCTATCAAAGTGTCAGTCATCACACAATGTGGCTTACTGTGTATAATGTTCTCCTATTTCTGCTCACTTCACTCAGCATCAGTTCATATATGTATTTCCAGGTTTTTCTGAAGTCTGCTTGCTCATCATTCCTTATGGAACAATAGTATTCCACTGCATTTATATACCATAACTTGTTCAGCCATTCCCTAATTGATAGGCATCCCCTCAATTTCCAGTTCATTGCCACCCCAAAAAAAGCTGCTATAAATATTTTTGTACATGTGTGTCCTTTCCCCTTTTTTTAATGATCTCTTTTGGATACAGACCTAGTAGTGGTATTGCTGGGCCAAAGGGTATTCACAGTTTTATAGCCCTTTGGGTATAGTTCCAAATTGCTCTCCAGAATGGTTGGATCAGTTCACAACTCCACCAGTAGTGCATTAGTGTTTCAATTTTCCCACATCTTCTCCAATGTTTGTAATTTTCTTTTTTGTCATATTAGCCAATCTGATAGATGTAAAGTGGCACCTCAGAGTTGTTTTATTTTGCATTTCTCTAATCAATAGTGATATAGAGCATTTTTCTTCATATGACTATAGATAGCTTTAATTTCTTCATCTGAAAACTAACTGTTCAGATCCTTTGACCATTTATCAATTGGGGAATGACTTGTATTCTTATAAATTAGACTCAGTTCTCTATGTATTTTAGAAATAAGGCCTTCATCAGAGACACTGGCTGTAAAAATTATTTCCCAGCATTCTGCTTCCCTTCTAATTTTGGTTACATTGGCTTTGTTTGTGCAAACCCTTTTTAATTTAATGTAATCAAAATCATCTGTATTGAATTTTATAATGTTCTCTATCTCCTGTTTGGTCATAAATTCTTCCCTTTTCCATTGATCTGACAGGTAAACTATCCCTTGCTCTCCTAATTTGCTTTATATCTAAATCACGTACCCATTTTGACCTTATCTTGGTATAAGAGGTGAGATGTAGGTCTATGCCTAGTTTTGGGAGTCTTTTTCAGGTAAGAGTTGCACTAGAATGCCTTCCAGACTATATTGCTCTTCCTTAACAAGATCCAGGAGCAGCACCAGCAGCAAGACCTGGTCGGGCCCCAATCTACATGCACTCCATCCAGTGTCCAGAGCAAGAACCAAGGCAGGGGAGGTAATAAGCCACACTTAGAGAGCTCTGTAAGACTGGCCCAACCCTTGGTTTGGCTTCCTCTCAATACCCAAAGATAATGTTGCAATCGGTCCATAGACCCTTGTAATAAATAGTCAAAGGCCCCTAGTAATAACAGTTTATGAGCAGAGGAGGGAAGGAATGTTGGTTTTTATGACACACCCTGGGGTTTTCCCACTCCTTTATCTCTGCTCACAGCTTTCTTGGGGCTCTCCCCTATACTTCCACCTGTTGAAATCCTGCCTGTCTATTAAGGCTCAGTTCAGGTGCCATTTCCTCTGTAAAATCTTCCCTCTAACTGAGCTGTAAAGGACCTCCTGTCACCTGAACTTTGTCTGAACTTTCCTGATAGGCATTTATCACATCCTGCCTCGTGTTATGGTAACGTTTGTGGGTCTTTGATAGGTGTGCCTTTTTCCTTATCCTTCTAGGAATGTGGGTTCTCCACCACTTCCTGTAGTCTCTTTGCCAGACCACTGAGGACCCTTCCCCTATTTTCAGCTCTCCTTCACCCATTAGAGTATTTGTGTCTTGAGAACAAAAATTGCCTACTTGTGTTTATATCTCTAGTGCTTAGCACAGTACCTGGCACAGAGAGAGTCCTAAATAAGGGCTCTACCTCTCTCTCTCTGTTGTTCAGTCATTTCAGTTATGTCCAACTCTTCATGACCCCATTTGGGGTTTTCTTGGCAGAGATACTGGAGTGGTTTGTCACTTCTTATCTATCCATCTCTCCATCCATCCATCCATCTATACAGCCATCTCTGTGTCATTCATCCATCTGTATCTATCCATCAGTCTTCTTCATCTCTCTAGGTATCTATCCATCTATCTACTTTCCTCCACTGAGAAGTAACTTCCGTGAGGACAGGTACTAGACTTTATACACTTCTTTGTATCCACATAATGCAGAACCCATTGTGTCTTCTCCCACCATGGGAAAACTTTCAGATGAAGTGGAGGAGAGGAGCACAGGGAAACTGGATTTCTCATGTCCTGCTTATTTCTCCACACTGTGCTTTCATCATTTGCACTGAATTTCAAGAATCTAGGACACTATGCCAACTGTTTTTGCCTTTCTTTGTATCCCTAGCACAGGGGTGGGGAACCTGCAGCCTCAAGGCCACATGTGGCCTCTAGGTCCTTGAGTGTAGCCCTTTGACTGAATCCAGACTTCACAGAATAAATTCCCTTAATAAAAGGATTTGTTCTTTAAAACTTGGACTCAGTCAAAAGGCTGTACCCAAGGACCTAGAAGGACACATGTGGATGCAGGTTCCCCATCCTTGCTCCAGAACTCAGCAGTGCCAGGCACATGATAAGAGCTTGGTAAACATTGGTTGACTGACTGTAAAATTTTGAAGGCAGAGAGAAGGGCCTTGGGCATGATGTGCACCATGAACATGCTCTAAGGCAGAGCTATAACTAAATGTATTGAGTCTTTTAGTGTGGTGGAGGGTGGCGGAGAGAGCCCTGGTCAGAAAAGCTGAATTCAAGCTGCTTCTCTGTGCCTCAGTTTCCTCATCTGCCAAATGGTAAAGATAATACTCGTATTATACCTCAGGACTGTTGTGAGGCATGAACAATAAGCATTAAAAACCAAATGAAAGCACTTTGAGACCCTGGAAAGGGCTCTAGAGAATGTGTAGTGACCACTCCCTCTTCCTGTACCACCCCACCCGCCCACCATGCCTATTTGAGGAAGAAAGACACAAGAGCTTTTACCCTGATGCATTTATTACAAAATAATTATTGCAACTGGAAACTGTGACCAAGGATGAGGACAGATGGGAAATAGGACAGGCTGTGCCCCCGGGGCCAAACAACCTGCCAGGAGGTTCCCTGTCCCAGGCAACAGGGGTGCTGGTCTTTTATGTCTTTTGCCCTCTGGTGGTCATTTGTGGGAGTGCACGGTGGTGGAGGAAGCTGGTCCCCGCTTGAGTAGGGAGGTGGGGGTGGGGCCGGGCTTCAACAAGGGTCCCAGGCCAGGCTCAGGGTCTCCTTACACAACCTCATCAGTCACTGGGACGGGGTTCACCTGGGGCCCCCCAGAGGGCCCTGCGGCTTCTTCCTCAGGCTGCTTCTTCCGGACCTCGGCGGGGGGCCGGGGTGGGGGATTACTGGGAGGCTGCTTGATGGTGGCCCCAACCTGAAGTCGTTCCTTGGGCTTCTGCTCAATGGGCATCCACTCTTCTCCCCGGATTGCAGCCTACAGAAGGGGAACCAGGGATGGGTGTGCTGGTCTGGAGCGGGGGCTGCCCATCAGCTGGGCTCTGCCCCAGGAGCAGAGGAGCTGCCAATCAGGAGCAGCAGCATCATCTCCCCCACCCCCATTCCATTAGCTCCCAACCTCTACTCCAGGGTTATTTTTGTTCCCTCCCCCAATACAGCTGGAGGCTCCCCTACCCCCAGCTACTAACTCCTTTCACTCACTGTACATAGCTTTATGCATCTAGTTATTTGGTATTTTGTCTTCTCTATTAGAACGTGAGCTATCTGAGAACAGGGACCATATTTTTGCCCTTCTTTGTATCCCCAGTACATAACACAGGGTTTGGCATACAGCAAGTGTTTAATAAGTGCTTATCGACTGACAGACTGAATGACTTTTGGGACACAGTGTGGAGCAGGAGAAAACAGGACCCGGACTCTAGACCTGCCTCTGTGACCCTGGGCAAGTCCCTTCCCCTATCTGGGCCACTGTTTTCTCATTTGTAAAATGAAGAGTTGGACCATTTACATGTTGTCTTTCCCTATTTGACTGCGAGCTTCTTGAAGGCAGGTACTGGTTTTGCCTTTTGCCATGCACTTAGTACCGTGCCTGGTACACAGTAGGTGCTTAATAAATGCCGATTGAAATATTATAAAGTTAACCAGCTTTGAAAGACTTAGGAACTCTGATCAACACAATGAATTAATGGACTCATAGTACAGATTGAAGCATGTTTCTTCCTTCCTCCTTTCCTTCCCTCCTTCCTTCTTTCCTTCCTTCCTTCCTTCCCTCCTTCCTTCCTTCATTCTCTCCTTCCTTCCTTCCTTTCCTCCTTCCTTCCTTGCCTCCCTCCTTCCTTCCTTTCCTCCTTCCTTCCTTCCCTCCTTCCTTCCTCCCCTCCTTCCTTCCCTCCTTCTCTCCTTCCTTTCCTCCTTCCTTCCTTCCCTCCTTCCTTCCCTCCTTCCTTCCTTTCCTTCTTGATACGGTTAATGAGGGAATTTGTCTTCATGACTTTATATTCGTAACAGACTCTGTTTTTCTTGCCTTCTTGATGGGCAGGAGAGCGACCAGGGAAAGGGTGAGAATTTGGAACTGAAAATAAATGAATTTTTTTTTAAATGCTTGTTTGACTATATGACTGTGGGATAGCCCCAGGAGCACAGGGTGGGGGTGGGATAGCATTGACTGTCAGACTCCTGTTCTCTTGAGACAGGACACAGGCCATGAGCCCCTTGGGTTATTTCATGACATAGGCCTAGTCACTTAACCTATCCAAGCCTCAGTTTGCTCCTCTGTAAAATTGGTATAATAGTAATTAAACTTCCCTGCTTTGTGGGGTGGTTGTGACAAAAGTGGTTTGTAAACCTTAAAGTGTTATAGAAACTGGAATTGTTATTATGGTTATTACCCAGCTGGCTCACCAGCAGAAGGCCATAGGCTTTGAGTTGCCTGCACCCTGACTTTATACTGAACCAGTTACAAAACCAGCCTCAGTGATCAGAGGCACCATTCCCAGCTGTCTGGTTGAGGTGAAGGGTGCTGTCCATGGTTCTACAGAGGAGAGGGGCATTAACTGGCCCACCCAGGAATCAAGCTGACCATCGTGGCTTCAGTAGCCAGGCTGTGTCAGGAGCCAGGTAGAACACACCAGAGACAGAAGACCCTGCTTGTGAAGGAAACGTACTGCCTTGGGGCCAACATGAAGAATAAGGTGCCCCAGATGGAAGGGTGCTGCCTCCTGAACACCTCTCTGCCCTTTGGGGCCCTTCCTTCTGCTGCTGAGATCCTCCTAGATGCTTGGTTTTGAGGACAGCCCCAGAGCAGCCACCTTCCTTCCTTTCAAGGCTTGGCTTCTGCCTGGAATTTGCTGCCTTGTAGGTACTTCTTCCCACCCCTTCTCTGTTCCTTTTATATGTTGTCTTCTCCCACTGGAATGTAGGTTCCTTGAGGGCAGGAAATGTCTTTCTTTTTGCTTGTATCTGTATTCCCAGCACTTAACACAGTGCTTGGCACACAGTAAGCCCTTAATAAATGCTTGTTGACTGCCCTGACTTTACACCTGCCCTTGGAGCTCACAGGAGTCCTTATAGGATTTAAAGCTATCAAGGTCATCTCACTTTACAAATGAGAAAAACTGAGCCCCAAAGACTAGATGGTATTAAATGTTGTCACTGGGATATACCTTTCCCTGGAGAATATCAGACCTTTAGGGGAAAGGTAGTGTGGCATAGTGGTTAGAAGAGCTGGCCTTTGAGTCAGAAAGACCTGGGTTCCAGTCCTGTTTCTGACACATTCAGCCTGTGGGACACAGCAGGCCCAGTCTCAGTTTCCTCCCCTGGAAAGTGGGAGGAAGAAATCTTTCATCTCTGAGGTAGGTCCCTTCCAAGCCCCAAATCCTATGCCTCTAAGATGAGGACGTAAGAAGGGATTCAGGGCAGGGAGAAGGCTGCATTTATCTGTACAAGATCTGACTCACCAGGAGATAGATCCCGCTTGCAATCGCCAGACAGGCCGTGCCCAGGATGGTGGCTAATAGTACCCCTGCAGGGACCGCCAAGCTGTGGAGGGAGAAAAGAAAGGAATCACCAATGCAGAGACATCTTCAGGGATGGGAAGATTAGATGGGTGAGGCTGAAGAGCCTGGGGTAAGAAGGGAAGGATGCTATGGGGAATTTGTTGGCTTTCTGAGACCTCGGTCCCTTCACTCATGAGGCTGCTTCATAGAATCTCGGAGTGGGAAAAATGCACAGAGATCATTTAGGCTGACCAGTGCCTACAGATGGAACCTCTCTTTCACCTCCCTGATTAGTGGTCATACCGCTTTCATTGTGAGACCCCCAGAGAGGAGAAATTCACTACTTCCCAGGTTAGGTGACACAGCGGACAAAGAGTGGAACCCGGAGTCAGGAAGACCTGGGTTAAAACCTGGCCTTGGTGACTGACTGTAGACAAATCACACAACTGCTATCTGCCTCAGTTTACTCACCTGTAAAATGGGGGTAATAACAGCATCTACGTCCTAGAATTATTGTGAGGATAAACTGAAAGATTTGTAAAGCAATTTACAAATCTTAAAGTGCTATATAAATTGTCATTATTATGCCATCTTCAGTCAACTCTAGTTGTTAGAAAGTTGTTTTCTTTACATTGAGCCAATATATCCTTTTTGGACCTTCTCAGACCAAGCAGAAAAAGTCTCATGTCTCTTTTACAGGAAGACCCTTCAAATACTTGGAGTTATCACATCTTATCTTCTCCAGTCTAAACATCTCCACCTGTGTGACCTTGGATCTAGCCCAGGCCTCAGTTTCCTCATCTGTTAAAATGAAGGAGTCAGACTACATGGTCTCCTTCCAGTTCCAGAGCCATGATCTTTCATCTAGACCTCAGAAAGCAGAGTCTTCAGGCCCCTCACTATAGACTGACCTTTTTAGGAGCCGTCCACCTTGTCAATGTTCTTCCTAAAAGGTGGTCCACAGAACTGACCATGGTCCTCATCACGTAGAGGTTGGTTGACTCTCCCCCTACCCTTCTCATCATCACTTAGGGTTTCCCAAGGCTGAAGGCTGGATTGATCTTAAGAATTACATTTCCCCCAAAGAAAACACAGCAACAGTTAAGGAGCTCAAACCCATCCAGAGGACAAGATGAAGGGACAAGGAAGAAGAGACACAGGCATGTGTCACAAAGCAAAGAGTCGGGAACAGGTGAGCCTTGGTCTCCCTGCAGGGTCAGTACCCCAGCCCTTAAGCTGGCCACCGAACCATTGTTTATTTGGGGAATCTCAGCATCTAAAATCATGCAAGGAAGATGTCCTAGGACGAAAGGGGAAAGAATCCAGGAGTCCTGAGCTCAAGGTTGCCTCCCCCATTACTGTCCTCACTCTTCCAGAGTCGGCCAACTTAGATTCTAACTCTCCCTGAGAAATCTGCCCTCCCCTCCAGCCTCAGGAAGGTAGGTGCTACTCACCAGAGGTGCAGGATGGCTCGGACATAGTAGTTCCTAGTCAGGGGCCCGAATGCCTTTACCACGGTTGTCAGGTACTTCTGACCCCTGGACAAGAGAAGAAAAAAAAATGCATGTGGGAGAAAAGCCCCCATGTCCAACTACTGTCACACACATGGGATGCCCCTTTATTGATGGCCCCCAATGCCCTTCTTATGACGAATTTATCAGTCAAGGGAAGCTTCCAAAGAGTACAGCATGGAATGCCCACCTTGTGAGCAAACACTGGATCTGAAGAAATGGCCAGTGGGCATTGACCATCACCACCCAAGTCCTGTGCTTGGAAAATGGAGTCAGACTCTCAATATATCATTACTGAGTGCTATGTACCTAGACCTGTGCAAAATACAAGCCAATGACAGTCTTTCCCTCCTGGAGCTTATCATTAATTCTGGGAACCTGGGGCTTTAGCTCAGAGAAGGAAAAGATGAATAGAGATTGAAGGTAGTCAGGGAAATAACTAAAAGGATTTCAGCTAGATCTTCAAGGTTGAGAGGAGTTTGTGTGGATAGAGGTGGGGGTGGTGGTGAAGTTTGGGATGATGAAGAGATGAGACTAAGGTTGCTGTATGCATCAGTAGGGCACCTGATTTTTCCAGTAATTGGGATGGGTTTGCACTGAGGCATTCTCACTTCACCATTTACTCAACAATGTACTTCCTGATCACCTGCTTCATGCCCAGGACTTTGGGGAATCAAAGATGGATTAAGTCAAGGTCCCCTAGCCTTCATAGAGCTTTTGCTCCAGTTGGGAGAACAAGATTGATACACAGGAAACAGAGAGCAATAAACAACATTAAGTACTACTAATTGTCCTGATCAGTACATATGTTTTGAATCAATTACAGACCATAAGTGCATTTGGAGTTTAGAGAAGGGATTCATCCCCTGTGGGCTAAGAGGGTTCACAGAAGGATTCATGAAGGAGTTGGGTTTTCTCATTCACCCACTATCCATTATGATCAGCTACAGGAATTCGTCAAATGCCTCATGCTGCTCTCCTCTGCCTTCAACTCTCTTCCTCCTTACCTCTTCCCCTCCCCACTTCCCCCACTCCCATCCACACAAACTCCGTCTATCCTTCAAGACCCAGTTAAAGTTCTGTTATTTCTTGGACCACCTTCAATCTCCCCCCATCTCCCCTTTCTTTTAATTCCTAAAGCCTTAGTCTCCTTGAGATTATAAATTCCATGAGGACAAAGGTATTATTCTCTTGTATTTAGCACAGTGCTAGGCACTTAGGGCCTAAACAACCAATGAAGACTTGTTAAGTGGCTCCCATTCTCCAAGCATAGGCATGCCAGAGGAGGAACTGTTGGCCAAATCTTTAGATCTAATGTTTGCTGACAAGGAGTTGGGAAAGTCCTCAGCCCTTCCTGTATCAGATAACTGGGCAAAAGTGGCCCTGAAAAACCCTAAAGATCTCACACATGGGGCAGCTAGTGGCACAGTGGATAGAGCACCAGCCCTGGATTCAGGAGGTCCTGAGTTCAAATCCAGCCTCAGACACTTGACACTTACTAGATGTGTGACCCTGGGCAAGTCACTTAACCCCATTGCCTAGCCCAAAAAAGAAAAAAAAAATATATATATATATATATATATATATATCTCACATAGGACAAAGAGGGGCACTTACCATCGCTCCATGGTGGAACCCTTTTTCCTCTTGCCCCGGGGGTATTCCAGCAGGCAGATAAATACCCCAGCTACACTGAGGGATCCAAGTTAAGGAAAAAGTCTTCATCTCTGTGAAACCAGGGGGTTGAACTGAAGTCTCGGCAGTCCTTCCAGGCCTAAATCAATGATGCTCCCATCCTATGATCCTCACCCAGACCAGCCTACAGCCCCACCCACCAATGGCTCAGGCCGTTCATGGAAAGGAATCTATCTAAGGTCATAGACCCTGAAGGAGGAGCCCAGAAAGGCTAAGAGCAGGTGGAGCCTGTAACAGCAGCATCTAGCCAGGGGAGGGGATCCGGTAACCTCAAGGCCACATGGAGCCCTCCAG